TTGGTTATGAAGAAGCAGTGACCACGTGGCTGCTGGCTGCTGTCCTAGACTGTTGAGGCAATAAAGGCGACTACCGGGACTGTGGCCTGGAATGAATTCTTCTGGAGCACTGGTTTGCTCACTGACAGGAAATGACAAGACCTTTTCCTTTAAACTTTCCTTCTTTTGGGGGATCCCTGGGTGGCTCAGCAGTTTGGCGCCTGCCTTCGGCCCAGGGCGCAATCCTGGAGTCCCGGGACCAAGTCCCACTTCAGGCTCCCTGCATGGAGCCTGCTTCTCTCTCTGCCTCTCTCTCTCTATGTCTATCATGAATAAATAAATCTTTAAAAATAAAAAAAAATAAACTTTTTTTCCTTTAAACTTGCAGCCTAAGTCATGGTCAGAGGCCCAGGGACATTTCATGGCCACCATAGAATAATCTTATGGCTGCAGGGCTGATGTTGCTAAAGATCAAACACATCACTGAATTATGCATGTGTTGCTCACTTATGCCAGTAGAAACCCAGGAAATATATGTGGGAATGAATCTAAGCATGTTGGAGTAAGGAGGATGAGATACAATTTTGCTTCTGGTGAATTTATTGACCTGGGAGCACTTCGCAGAAATCCTGTATTTCACACGCTATTGTGTGTGTGCCGCTGAATGTGGCTCTGCTGTGTTTCTTGGTTGGTTGGCTGAGCTTTGAACTCAGCGGTAGCTTATGTTTACTGAGACTGAGATGTGAGAATGTCCCTGGCCTCAAGTAGAGGAAGGAAGCCAAAGACTTAGTGCAATGGGAATGCTGGAGTGGATCCATCACACACGATGTACACCCCCACTGCCCACTGACAGTGCCCAGAGGACATTCTGTTCAATAAGACATTGAGAAACATTGGCAAGGGGAACACCAGCATCCTGGAGAGCTCTGTGGTCCCCATTCTCCTCGGGTGGCCCATGACGGTGGGAGACGCTGCATTGAGATGAGGCTGTTGATTCCAGTGGAGTAACGGGGCCCCGGATATTTGGGAAAGTGGGAGAAGTAAGGCCAGCGCCAGTTTTTAAAGGCAAAAGAAAACTGTTTTTATTTGTGTATAGGACAAAACTCCAGTGGTCTTCCCCTCTATGGGCACGTGGTAGAGGAGGCTTCTGATATTACTCCACACCATGTCCTGTAGTTTGGGAGACTTTTACCTCTAGAATGAAGACAGGGATTCTATGGATTAAAAAAAGAGAAAGCTTTATTTGGACTATTTCAAACATGCACTAAAGCAGAGAAATAGTATAACGTGTCCTCGTGTCCCCCTGCTTAAGGCATTATCGACTCACAAATACCCTTGTTTTGTCTATATCTCCACTCCACCCATTATATTTTCCCTAGTTATTGAAATATAATTGACAAATAAAAATATATATTGAAGGTGTACAATGTGATGATTTGATACACATAGGCATTTGTGAAATATTTACCACCATCAAGTTAACACATCCATCCCTTCAAATAGTTGCCTTTTCTCTGTGTGTGGTGATCTTGTTTCAGAACAACTTGCAAGTATTCCAATACTGTATTAATAACCATTGTCAGGGCAGCCCTGGTGTTGCAGCAGTTTGGCGCTGCCTGCAGCCCGGGGTGTGATCCTGGAGACCCGTGTAGGGCTCCCTGCATGGAGCCTGCTTCTCCCTCTGCTTCTCTCTCTGGTCTCTATGAATGGATAAATAAAATCTTAAAAGAATAAGAATAAGAATAAGAATAAGAATAAGAATAAGAATAAGAATAAGAATAAGAAGAATAAGAATAAGAATAAGAATAACCATTGTCAGCCCCCAGCCCATTGTATTAAAGCAAAACAGCTGTCATACAATTTAATCTTTAAATAATTGGGTCTGTTTATAAAAGGTAAGAACTTTTAAAAGTATATGGAACCCTGGTAAAATGAACACACCTGGAAAAATGAACAATTATTCCTTTTTGTCATCAAGTAGAATGAATGGTTATTTTTAAAATGTGAATGATGCCAGTATTCCTTTCTGAAAGCTGGAAACGTGCACCCCTTATTAGAAAATAAGGCGAAACAGTTTAATAGTTTAGGACTGCATCTGGAAAATCTCCAGGAAACCCTTAACTTGGCTTTCTTTCCTTGGGGGAGGTCTAAAATTTAACCTTCTGTACCCCGGGTGGGACTCGAACCCACAATCCCTGGCTTAGGAGGCCAATGCCTTATCCATTAGGCCACCGGGGCCGGCAGAAGAGGCTCTGCGATGGTTCTAGAGCAGTCTCTCCATCACCTCCCCGTGGTTCCCACCGGTTCCACACAGCTTCCCGGCTCCTTCCCGTCTCCTTCCCGGCTCCATCCCGGGGTCTCCGCACCCGCGTCCCGCCGACGCTCGGGACTAGGCGCCCCTAGAGCATCCTCGGACCCCGGAGAGACCGCGCACGCGCAGATGGAGCCCAGGGAACTCGGTCCACAGGTATCAGCTCAGCTCGTGGACTAGGGTGTGATCCTCGCTTAGGGTGCGAGAACCGGGGGTTCAAATCCTGGGCGAGCCGTTCCTTCTCCGTGTAGGAGACTCCGGGTGATAATTTAGCGAGGAGTTGGCTCTGCAAAATGTGGGCGAGAAGAGGGGTACCAGGTCGGCGCCTGGGCAAAGTGCCATCCCTGTCCTTGTGCTCCTCCCTACACTGCCCCGGAGACAGGAGGTGTCACCTGCGCCCAGGTGTCCGCGGTTTTAACAGAGCCCAGCGGCCTAAGGTCTTCGGGCTACGCGCCCGGCGCAGGGGTCTCCTCGGGGAGAGAACCCAGCGTGCTCTTCCCATCTCCGGAACGTTTACCTCAATGACTTAATGACGCTGAAGCATCACAAAAACGATAAAGTAGGACCCCGTAGGGCCCCAGGTCACCGGCGCCCACCTTCCAGAAATGTGCGCCCCGGCTGCCGCCCCTCGGCGGTCACATCACCTAGGTCACCTGGCTTAGCCAGAGTCTCTTGGCGAGAACTCGGTTCCTCAGGTAAAGACACTTTTCCCAGGTAAAATGGTAACACAATTCTGGGCACTATCATTGCAAGAAATCGAAGTAATCTTAGATATTTTAAAATATCTTTTATGTTAAAAAATATAAAAATAGATATATAATGTTATATATCTAAAAATACATATATAACGCTAAATAGACCAATTAAGCCATTTTTAAGTGTACGTATTCAGTGGCAACAGTTACATGCACAAAATCATCCAACCACCACCACTATTTCCAAAACCTTTTTGTCACAACTATTATATTTTGAAATGCACCTGTCCCCTGAGCCCATGGGACAACTCCCCCCGCCCCTCGCAGCAGTCCATCCCCCCCTGGTCTGTCACAGCTCCGGTCGTCTGCACTGTCCTGCAGCCGGTCCCCGAGGGGCTCCTGCACTTGCTGAGGGTGCCTTCGGGCTCCGGCCGGCGTTGGCCCCGCCACGCCCGCGGGGGCTCCGGGGTGCAGGCCGGGCCTAGCTCCGGAGCCCCGAGCCTGGACACGCGGAGCCGCTTTCCGGTGCCGCGGGGCGGGGCGCACCGCCCGAGCTTCCTGAGGTTCCGCGGGGGGCAGGGTCCCGACGCAGGGAAAATTTAAAGTCGAGGGTTTGGAAAAAACGATCACTGCAGCGACCACGAAGGGACTCGAACCCTCAATCTTCTGATCCGGAATCAGACGCCTTATCCATTAGGCCACGCGGCCCCACCACTGACGCTCTCACAGCTTCTCTCACAAAGCTGCTGCAGGCTCCTGCGTACCGGCCAGGAGCTCCGCCCCTCGGGCCCTGGTGGGCGAGGCCACGAGCCGGGCCTGCGCGGAAATGAGCTCGCGGGCGGGGCGAGGACCGCCCTCCCGACCTGCGCTGCGAGTTCGAGCCCGGGTGAAGCCGCGCAGGCCCCCACTGCGCTCTCGGGACGCTGCGAGCGCTTCCCCCGCGTGGCCCTGGGCGCGCCGGGTCAGGGGCTGCCCACTGCTCCTGCCGCCCCCGCCGCCCCGCATCGCAGCAGCCCTCGGTGGGCAGTGCTCGGGCCAGTCTTGTGGCCCCAGACGCGACGCTGAGCGGCGCATCTCCCGCATTTCCACGGCCCGGCGCTGGCGCGAGTGGGTGCGTGAGCAGAGGCGGAGCTGTGGGCCCCGGCTGCCCGCTCTCGGGACGTCCAGCCCAGCCCGTGCGGGCTTCCCCCGTCCCTCCGCCCCTCGCAGGAGCGCCAGTGCACCCAGACGGAGCACCTAGACGGAGCGCCGAGCCCTTTGCACCCCACCCCGCGTCCCCCCGGGGAGCAGCGCGCGCAGTCAGGCCCGCAGGCAGAGCGGCCGCCGCAGCGAGCTGCGGATCTCCAGGCAAGCCTTGCGGCGCTCCGGGCAGTCGGGACCCAGCACGTCCAGTTCGCACACCCGCCGGTTGACCTGCGAGGACCGCACCCAGCCTGTGCCCAGGACTCCCGGGTCCCTTGGCACCCAGCCTGGGGCCCCGGGGATGGTAAGGCCTAACATTTCAAGTGCTGCCTTGCCGTGATCGGCCCTCCCCGTGCGCGCCCTGCTCCTTCCTGTCAGATGTGCCCCCCAAATGGCAGGAGAGGCCGCCCAGCCGGTTGGTTCCCCCCCAGTCCGACCAGCCACACTCCACTGTCCTCAGTCTCTGGGGTTCAGTTCCCTGCCAGGCCATGAAATTATTCAAGCAAGCCAGTCACATCCTCCTGCAGGAACCAGGGAATCCCACCCACTCTTACTGTGGAGCCTGCTGGGTCACTGCTCCTGACTGCAGCCCTGAGTGGCCCTGGAGGGGGGGACTCCTCCTCCCCCGGGAGTGTGTGCCCTGGGAACTGCTGTGGCTGTCACCTGGCCAGTGCGGGAGCGCTGGGTGCGCAGCGTGACCTGCGTCTGGCCCACCAACAGGCGAGTAGGAGGTGATCAGAGCCCCGGCCCAGCACAGGGCAGAATCCCACCCACCCCTCTCCCCAGGTCCCTGCCCCTAGCCCCAGCCCACCTCGGTCAGCAGCTCCAGGAGGTCCCCCCCAGGGTCAGCTCTGAGGACCTCGGCCAGAGTCTGGATAAAGTCCGAGCCCTTCTCGTCGCGATAGGCTACGCAGCCTAGGCCAGAGGATGGGGCAGAGCGTCAGACTTGGGCCCCTGCGGCTGCCTTCCAGGCCCCAGCGACTCTTTCGGTGCAAAGAGGGCAGAGGGGCGGGAGGGGGCCCGGCAGGCAGGACCCCAGGGGTCAGGCAAGGGGACTGCACAAAGAGCGGGAACTTCTTGCGTCTAGAACGACTTCCTGCTGGCTATTTAGGGAGTACACAGTCCGAATGCACAGGGCACATGCCCGCTGTGAAGCCCCTGTGCCAAGGGCTGAGCAGGGCCTGAGGCAGATCCCCCATGGAAATTCTGATGCTTGGCACAGGCCGCCCCTATGAGCTCCCCGTGGTTACTATGATTATAAATGATAAACGTGGAAGGAGGATGGCTGAACTGCAACTGGGCTGCTGCCTCTGTGCCCCCCTGCCCAGCCCTGGCTGCCCCTAAAGCCCCTCCCCGTGTCCAGCCAGGATGCAGGGCCCTAGGTAGCAGGCTTCCTTGGTGAGCTGTCCCCTTACCCTTGGCAGCTGCATAGACCATCAGGATGTCTGCTTGGTCAGAGCTCCCGGCAGTGGGGCCCCGGGAGGCGCTGCCTGCAAGAAGGATCCACTGCATTTACCCAGCATCCTGGGGCTCTATCAGCCCCAGGGGTGCCCCCAAGTCTGACTCAGGGGCCCACAGGGCAGTCAGTGGAACGAGCCCAGAGCAGAAGAGGCAAATCAGAACTCAAATCCAGCTCTGTCCCCTACCAGCTGTGTGACCCTAGAAAAGCTGTATCACCCTCCTCCTCCAGGGTTGTTTCAAGGCTCAAGTAGGGCCAGAAGCCCTCGATTTTCAAAGGCCCTCGCAGTGTAGGAAGGTTTTCCTTCCCAGCCTCTTGGCAAAGAGGATGCAGGTAGTGGCAGGACCCCAGGTCAGAGCACTGGAAAAGTACGCCAGACAGCCCTCCCACCAAGGCCTCCCAAGCCCAGGCTCCAGAGGAAGGCACACCCCACCTTGGGCATCAGCATAGATCTCAAGGACATCGGCGTGTGACGGGGTGGTCGGTGATGCCTGCAGCCAGCGCCGAAACCAGGAGAGAGCTGTGGGCCCCACGCCGGCATCCCTATGCCCTGGAAGTGGGGGACACGCAGGTGTGTACTGCTCAGCAGATACCTGGGGGTGCTCCCAGGTGTGCACAGCCCAGCCCCCAGGGCTCCAGGGCAGGCCTGCCAGGCTGGAAGCACTCAGAGCATGGATTAGCATGTGCTGCGGGTAAAGCTCAAGCTGGTGGACTTGACTTCTAGGACAGGCTAGGAGACGGGGCAGGTAAAGTGCCAACGATGAGGCTTCCCGAAGAAGGTGGACAGCAAATCCTGGGAGGCTGAGGGCTGCGTGTGTACAGCTAGGGCAGGAGGAGGCAGGAGGGAGGCCCCGGGCCCCACTCACCCCCACGGCAGGCCTGAAGCAGGAAGATCTTGGGGCAGCCCCACAAGGCCCTGCAGCGGTTCAGCTCCTGCACCAGTGCCTCTGGCTGTACCTCCTGGCCATCAGCCCCCAGCAGCTGCCCCTGGGGCCCCCCGTGGGCCATCAGGGCCACTAGGGCACAGCTCACCGGGGCGCTGAGGGCATCCAGGCACTCTCGGAACTGCACCATCTCCTCTTGGAAAGCCTGGGGTGGGGACGAAATTGAGGCCTAGGCCAAGGCTCCTGCCTCCCCAGGGCCTGAGGGCCCTCCAAGGAGGCTTCTCCAGTCCCTGCCTACCCTACTTCCCACCGCCTGCCAGCCTCAGGCCCGCAGAGGAGAGCTGGCATGGCCTAATTGGGGGTGACATGTGGATCTAGCCTCTGGCGGCTGGGCCAGGGCAGGGAAAATGCTCCAAAAAGTGAAAAGGCATGAGGGGAAAGCAAACAGCTGACAGGTGTCTGGGAAGGAAGCTGAGACCTTCCCAGGAAAAGCTGGAGGGTCCAGCTGGGGCCTGGCCCAAGGAGTGGAGCAACAGCCAGTGTTTCTGGGAGAGCAGGCTTCCAGAGGCAGGGAGGTGAGCCCCACCGCATGCAGCAGAGAGGATGGAAGCCAGATGGTGGGGGAAGAGGCCCCGAGAGTAGCTCCAGGCCTGTGGTGGGGGGTGCCCTTCCTCCAGAGCACCACCAGAGCTCTGGCCTTCACCTCACCTGGGCTGTAGGGTTTGTCCTTAGGGTGATCTTGAAGTTCAGGGCCTGGCACAGGCTCCCCAGTGCCTCCACATCGTGCTGGGCCCCGGGCCGGTTGCGGATCACCGACAGGAGGAGGACGGCCCTGGTCCCGGACAGGTCATACTGAGCCCTGGGGCTGGGTTCCGGCTACAGACAAGGAGCATTCAGAGTGGTCTGAGAGCCTCCCAGCACCTCATGTCCCCCATCTCAGGTCTCCCTGAGCCTTTTTCCCACTTGCAACTGCTGTCACATGGTTCACCCCACCCTGTCCCCCTCACCTGCGGCTCCCAGGGTTCCACATCCCCCAGGCACAGTGTGCCCCGCAAGGAGCTCCGAAAGACTGGGCAGTAGGTGGCCTCTGACTCTTCAGCTGTCCTGTAGAAGACCTGGGGGGAGACCAGAGAACCCCTGGGGGGCTGCTCCATGGAGGTGCAGTTTGGGGAGGGAACAGGCCACCAGATCCAGGGAACAGCTTGGCTAGCTCATGGCTACCAGTCTCTCTTGAGTCCAGATTGTAGGGAGAAGACAGACAAAAGAAGGGGAGAGCATGAAGGGTGTCCTTCTCAGGTTCAATGTCATGGGCTTCCCTGCACATGGACGGCCTGAAGTGGCCAGTGGCCATGCCATTAACCACGCCACTCGCCACCCTCGGGATCAGTGTGCCCAGAGCAGGGGCGCTCCCTAGAGCAGCTGGGGCCTGTCTGGGGAGGCTCACAGGGCAGGTTCCCCCTGCGGAGGGCAGCAGGCTGTGGAAAGCTGTGGGGTGGAGCCAGGGCCCACCCTTCACCCGGGCTCACCAGTGGCTACCCGACTGCCCAGTGAGACCTCTGGGCCTCCAGCCCAGACCAGAGCTGGACCGTTCACCTGCAGTCCGACGGGACGGTCCCTGCCTGTGTGAGTGTGAACAGGGTGGGCCAAAGCACAAGCGTTGACTCGGGGAGCCCAAGGACGGGCATCACTGGCAGCCTGGAAGGGAATGTGTGGGGCTGGCCGAGACAACAGGAGGGCGGGCCAAACAGACGGAGCAGCATGGGCAAGGCACGGAGCTGAGGAGCAGTGTGGAGGGTCTGGGGGATCCTGAGTGGGTTGTGGGGGGGGCACGGGAATCTGCCGAACAGGCTCAGGAGAGCACAGCAGAGCCAGGGCAAGGGGCCGGCCGGCCCCCGACCCAGGGACGTCCCGTCTGGGCCCCCACCTCCGTCAGCAGCTGCAGCAGGGACCAGCGCCGACAGCGGCCACAGAGCCGGCTCAGGCCCGTGAGGAAGGCTCCGCGCTCCGGGGCACCTGCGGGGGGACCAGCACGTGGGCCGGAGGCAGCTGGTGGCCCCCGCCGCCCCCGCCCTGCTTCGCGCCGTCCCATCCCCAGTCTCCCTGGGCCACTCACCCCCAGGAGCACTCGAGAGCAGCAGGAAAACCTTGGGGCGGCCCCACAGGGCCCTACAGTGGCTCAGCTCCCGGACCAGCTGCTGGGGCTGCCCCAGCTGCCCACGGGGGGCCAGCAGAGCCACTAGGGCACAGCCCACAGGGCCCCCGAGGCCGTCCAGCTGCTCCCGGAACCCAGCCAGCTCCCCGAGGAAGCCCTAGGGCAAGAGCAAAGGCCAGGGCTGAGTCCAGGGAAGCCCGAGGGTGGGGCTCGAGGTGGGTGCGGGCTGAGGGTGGATGGGTGGGAGACAGGTGAGGACCCACCTGGACAGAGGCCTCGGTCCTCTGGCAGCGCTCGAAGCCTAGGGTCCGGAACACGGCTTCCAGGACAGCCACGGTAGAGGCTGACACCTCAGGGGTGCTGAGCGTCAGGGCCACCCTGGGACCCTGCAAGCTGTACTTCCCCTGGGGAGGCAAGGCCAGAGTGGGCTGCGGAGGGGCTCCCCTGAGAGCCAGGAGTGGGCGGGGCCACGTGGGGCCTCCTACTACCTTTCTTTCCAGACTCTGTCGGGTATCTGCCAACAGCGAGGCCACCTGCAGGGTCCCAGCCACCAGGAAGGCCATGGGGGCCGGGTGGGGGCTTCCTCTGAGCACAGAGCTTAACCCCTGACCCCAGCACCAATGCCCCGGGTCCCAGTACTTGCCGTTTCCCTGAGCCCTGTCCTATCAGCTCTGTTTATGAGCCGAGCTGGACTCTGCTCCTTCCCTGGAAGCCTGGGTCTTGGGCCCCACTGCCCCTGTCCCTGCCCTGTTCTGGCTCCAGCGGGCTACTTCCTGGCTGACATCGGCACGCCCCCACCTGAGCCAGGAGCCTATGCCCAATCCTATTCTTAGTTCCTGGCCCACCTCCTATCTGATCTAGTTATACAGCAGTGTCTCCCTTCTGAGCCGGCCACCAGCACCAAAAGTCCCTGTTCCCATCCCCTACCCACTCATGCACAGCACCCACACCTGTGCACACTGCAGCCTGGCGCTTACAGGTACGAGGGGCGGTGAAGGGTGCTGCCTCTGAGGCGGAAACCCCCAACTGGAGTCACCTGTCCACAATGGGACCCCAGCTGTTTCATTCCGGAAATGAGACCCATCGAAGGGAGCTCAGGATGAAGCAAGTGTTAAATGGGGGGCTGGCTGAGGAAGGGCCCTGGGGCCAGCGGGGCTGGCACACAGACCAAGGGACAGAACATTCTGTGTCAGTCTGCCCCCACCACCCTGTAGGCGGCCTGCAGAGGCCACTACCAGGCAAACTGTGCCCATGCACCCACCAGTTCTGTGCAGGCTCTAGGCTGGGGCCTCGGCCGGGTGGGGGTCAGAGGTCAAAGGCTGTGTGGGGTATGGGGCAGGGCCCACGCTGACCCAGCAGTCCTCTTCCACGGAGGGATCTGAGCACAAGCACCAGCTTAGAGTTCTGGATCCCCGTGAACAGCAAGAGCATACTGCCCCCAGCCAGTCACCCCACACCCAAGCCTGTTTCTTCACGGCACCAACAAGGAGAAAGGGGGTGGCCTGGCGCAGGCCTGCTCAGCTCCCCACTGCCCTGCTGGGGTGGTATGGGCTGCCCCAGCCCGGGCAGGCATTGGCTGACACAGGCAGATGAGAGTCCTAAGACTCCGGGCTGTCCTTCGGACCCAGCCAACCTGGAAGCCAAGAATGTGGCTCCACCTGGTGACCACCCAGCACCAGTGCCACCAGGACTACTGAACCAGGAGGCAGAGAGGTCTGAATGCCAGGGCCCTGGCCCAGCAACCACATAAACAACAGCACAGCCCAGAGGAAGTTTCCATATTTATTCAAAGTCCTCTGCTGCCCTTTTGAGACCAGCAGGGCGGAGCTCCTCAGGAGAGCCTGTGGTCTGTCCCTGGGAATGCCACTCTGCCGGCAACGCAGAGGGCACCGTGGAATGCAGTGCTTAAGGAACCAACGACTAACCGCTGACAGAGTGCTAGTGTTAAATATCACAAACCCCACACCTCTGGAGAGAGGAGCCTCAGGGAGCAGCCAGCCTCTGCCAGCCCTGCCCTTGGTCTTCGGTGTCGGACTCCAGTCCCCAGAGCCACCACCACCGTCACCAGATCAGTAGGGGGCTGCTCTTTGGGACTAACTTGGGGGCAAGTCAGCTAAGAGCAGAGTTAGGCAGTTTCCACGTCTCCAGACGGGGCAAAGTGGTCATGGCCTGGAAATGGGAGGGGATGTGGCCGGAAAGCCCCTGTGGCCACACCCAGGACCCAGATCCTCACAGAGATGGGCTGTCCCTCCCAGGGCCCAGCAGCATCCTGCAGGTCAAGGCCCGTCCTCTACACCCACCGGAAGGCACAGCTTGGCAGGGCAGAGGGCCAGGCCCACGGACTCAGCCCATAGGGCGGGCAGGGAACAGAGGAGCCAAGCAAGGCTGGGGGCAGGGGACCCCAGTCCTGCCAGAGTCCTCACCCCAACCTGGTGCCCCAGCCTTCCTCCCACGCAGAGGCCATGGGCTAGGAATGTGCTGGGGCTTCATGAAGCCAGAAGAGGAATGGCCACGAGGTGGTTGGGGCTTTCCACTCTGGAGTGTGTGCCAGGCACGGGTGCAGGCGGGAAGGCAGCCGGGATGGAAGCCAGCGGCCGCGGCACCCTGAGGTGACCCCAGCCTAGCCTAGCACCCCCGTGGGCCGCAGGGCCCTTGCCAGCCCTCAGCCCACAGGCTGGGCCATCTTGGCGTGCAGGCTCTGGTGGGCGATGAGGTGGGCGCGCTGCTTGAAGCTCTTGTCGCACTCGCCGCAGCCGAAGGGCCGCTCGCCCGTGTGCACCCGCCGGTGGTCCAGCAGGTAGGAGCGCAGCGAGAAGCTCTTGCCACACTCGCTGCAGCCAAAGGGCTTCTCGCCCGTGTGGATGCGCTGGTGGTCGGCCAGGTAGGCGCTGCGGCTGAAGCTCTTGCCGCACTGCGAGCAGGAGAAGGGCTTCTGGCCCGTGTGCACGCCCTGGTGGCGCACCAGGTCCGAGGAGCTGCGGAAGCTCTTCCCGCACTCCTGGCACTTGTGCGGCTTTTCGCCCGTGTGTGTGCGCTGGTGGCGCGCCAGGTCCGAGCCCCAGCGGAAGCGCTTGCCACACTGGCCGCAGCTGTGTGGCTTCTCCGCTGCCAGGTCCCGCAGCTGTCGCCGGCGGGTCGGCGGCCGCCCCCTCCGTGCCCCCGCAGCACAGGCCAGGGGCGCCCCTGACCGGGCTTCACCCTCCCAGACCTCCGGCTGCTCCTTGGGGCTCCAGGACACAGTCACATCCCCGCGCCCACCGCCACTGCTGCTGCTGCCGGCCTGGCCTGCAGATGCCACTGTCTCCTCCAGCCCAGCCTGCTGGCCTTGGCTCTTGAGCCCCAAACCTGCAAGCCGAGAGGGGTTGGCCTCTTCAGTTCCACTGGGTTCTGGGACCAGAGCTGGGGCGAGGCAGAAAAAAGACTCAGGTTCCGAAAGCCCTGAGCTGCACACACCCCAGCCTCAGTTTCCTTATCCGTAAAACAGGGATGTGATAAAATGCCAGCAGAGCACCACTTCAGAGGCAGTGGCAAGGGGTCCAGCTGGGCTGATCCTGCTCCACAGGCACTAAGGATATACCTAACCCTACCACACCCATGGCGGGGCCACAGTGGCACCCAATGTCCCACCCTCTGAACCCTGGCTATTCAAAGTCCAAAGCGGAACACGTTCAGGTAGTTCGTAAAGTAGCCAAACTCCCAGTTATTCTTACACAAAACTGAGAACCCACATGGGTTCAGCCTCTGTGGCTGTTCTCACCCCACAAGCTCTTGTCCCCTAAACTCAAGGGCAGATTTGGACAGGGAAGGATCCTAGCCCTCCCACTGGGTCATGCAGATTAAATGAGACAATCTCCAAATGGGTGCTCAGAGAGGCTCTAGCGTGGAGTGGCCTCCGAAGAGCAGGGCCCAGGCCTCGGCGCACAGACAGCAGGTGTTCTCACTGTCAGCACCTCTCCTCACAACCACTGTCTAGACAGAGTCCTAGCTCAGCCCCTCCAGTGTCCACTGACCCCTCTAAGTTTCTGATCTCTCGTCTGTGAACGGGGACAACCCTTCTATGCAGCAGGTTGTGAGAATCACAAGAAGATGCCCGTTTGCGAGCTCAGCACAGTGCTGGCACGTTGCAAGCGCCCATGATATGGTAACACACACTTATGGGCAAAGACAAACAAACATTAACCCAAAGAAAAATCATCCAGGGCTCTTGAAAAGACCCAGTGAAAGCCCACTTCTGAGCCACCTAAGGAGGGGGTAGGAAGACTCGGTGTACGGCCTGCCTGAGCCCACCCTCTGTCACTGGGACCCCCAAGGGTCCTGTCTGCACCCACTGCTTACCCAGGGTGACATTCCGGGAGTTCTCTCGCTTTATGTCCCAGAAGAGTTCCCTCTGGGCAGGGTCCAGAGATCCCCATTCTTCCCGGGAGAAATAGAAAGGAATGTCTCCAAATGTCACAGATCCCTAGAATGAGGTTAAAAAAAACAATGACCTGGCTCAGGACTGCCACTCTGGACTCCCCCAGGCAGCCATGGGTGGGAAGGGGGCTGGGATGGAGACCAGGATGGGTTCAGGCAGGACCAGGGTGGGTGGAAAAGGCACTTTTCTTGATGAAAAGACAAGGTCCATTTGTGGGACTCAACAGCTCCGAGGGCCTCGGAGGGGACAAGTGGACTGTAACTCACGTGGACCTTGGAGGCAAAGCAGGTATCTGTTGGCCCTCTGGCACTCCCCTCTTTAAGAGCAGGAAGCAGGGCTGAGGGAAAAGAACAGAGCCTCACAGAGGCCAGCCCAGGCCAGGAGTGAGACCTCACACATACACACACATACACATTCCTAGGCTTCTTAGAACACACATGGCCTTCCTACTACAGGGCAACGCGCCCAGGAAGGAACCAGGCCTCCGCCCAGCGATTGTGGCCTACAAGCTTACTCACCACCAGGGCTGTGCTGCTCCCAAGGTACAGGTGGCCAGCTTCGTGCCCCCACCTTCATGGGAAGCCCCTTGGCCTGGGATCCCTGGACTGTAGCCTCAGGTTCCACCTCCTCTGAGGGCACTTCCTGTGCAGGAACCACAACATGCTCATCAGCACCGAGACCAGATGGGGGAGACAGAGCTTAATCCCTGGGAAGGAGACACAGGACACATCCCTCAGGATGTAGGGGGGTGGGGAAGGAGAACATGGGGTCCCAGAAAAATCCCGAGAATGTGACACCAGGCAGTGCCGTGTGCCCAAGGATAGTCCCTGATCAAGCATGAGGCAGGAACAGATCCCAAAGGCCAAAATCACAGAGCCACTTAGTAAGAGGGTGTGGGGACAGACCTCCATGCCAAAGGCAGACCTCCACACGCCAGCCAGCCGCTCGTTAGCACCCCCCCCCAAGTGTCAAGAATCCAATGCCCCACCGAGAACAGGGTTCCCGTGGACAGCTACCTTCTCACACCCAGTCTGCTGCTGTCATTACACATATCATTGTATCCCCAGGGCCTGGTCTACAGCAGAACATAAAAAAAATATTTGCAGAAGCTGTGTGGCGCTAAAAGTGCCTTTCTGGAGCACGCCTACTTTGGTCCTGCTGCCACCCTCCAAAGCCTTTCCAAAAAGAAACCAGAGTCACTTGGACAGGGTCACTCAGAAAGGCAACACCTGTCATGATGTGCTCCTGTTGATGCTCCTTGTGGCCCTGCATCCCACCATCCCTGGAGGACTTGTTTATGGAGACAGCCACCGCTCCTCAGTCAGGTGCCGCCCAGGTGCCACCGGGTGTGGGAGGGGCTCCTCACCTGCCGCTGGGCTTTCACTGGCTGCTTCTGCAGGACCTCCACCAGGGCGACGGCCTCCTCGCCGCTCCCCGGACTCCGCTCCCGCACCCAGTCCTGGACATCTCCAGGCAGCACGCTCAGGAACTGCTCCAGCACCAGCAGCTCCAGGATCTGCTCCTTGGTGTGAAGCTCCGGCCGCAGCCAGCGGCAGCAGAGCTCCCAGAGCTGGCTGAAGGCCTCGTGGGGCCCACCCACGTCCCTATAGCAGAAATGCCGAAAGCGCTGGCGGCAGGCCTCAGAATCCCTGCTGTCTTCTTGCTGGACAGAGTCCTGCTCCCAGGAAGAATCTTCCACCTTCACGATCAGCAGACCTGCTCCCTCCCCAGGAGCCTCCTCCTGAGACTCCGGGGGGGCTGCCATTCCCCTGGCCTAAAGCTCAGGACTGCTTGGCCTCACCGGGCCTGGGAGCCAGTCCTTCAGTCTCCCAGAGGGATCCCCTGTGGCCGCCGGGTGGGCATCTGGACACGCATTCCTGGGGAAAGAGCAAAAAGCAGGAGGGGGGCAGTACATGAGCAAACACCAGCCAGTCTGCTCCTGTCCTTTCCTGGCCCTGAAGTCTTTTTAGGCTCTCCCGTAATGCCTCACTCCTATGACAAGCTCTTTACCCACACCAGCTACAGCCCTTTATCCTCAGCTCTGAAATCCAAAACTCCCAGGTTTTTACTCCCTGGCCTCCTGATGTAGGCATATTTACTCCCTGGCCTACTGATGTGAGCATATTTATGATCTCCACTTATCTCATTTAATTTCATGTTCATATGGTTCACAGCAAAAACCTTTATGTGTTTCTTCTGTTTGGAAATATTCACCGAGCTATACTTACTATGTGTATTTCTGTATGTGCGCTACACTTCAATAAAAAATTTAATTAATACATTTGATTACTGAGAACTGCTGCAGATTCTGCTGGTGGGGTCACTCGATATGCCACGTGTGCTGTATTAGCTTCTTCAAGTTTGAAAATTTCAGAATTCCAAAACACATCTTGGCCCTGGGGTGTCAGCAAAGAGCTCACAGACACCAGCTAAGCCATTTATCCACAGGTAGGTATGAATGACATACTTATACCCTACGTTGCTACTCCTTACAATAGTCCTGAAAAGTGTGTATTTTGAAATTCCCTTTAATTGCTCTTTTTTTCCAACAAAAGGTGACATAGAGCATTATAATTTTAATAAGGTGAGAGGATTTAAACAATACAGAAACACGTAAAATAGAAACCCCCTTCCAAATGCAGTTGCAACCTCCCGTGAACAGTAGGACATGTGACCTCCTGGACTTTTTCCCTGTCCATTTACTGAAAACTTATCTACAGAAACGGGGAAAACCAAGTGTTTTTGTGTGTTTTACGTAAATGAGGTCCTCCTGCACGCACTATTTTGTATCTTGCTTTTCTGCCTAACAATGCTTCTTCATTGGCCGCTCTGGGAGACTCCACGGGGTGGACGCGCTCCAGGTTAACAGGTACCCGGGTGAGGCACCGGGTTGGTTTGCAGTCCTCTCCCACGCGCTAAGCGCCTGCTTTACTTTATTCTTCCACGCCTCACAACACCCCCGAAAGGTACGCGCTCCGTTCTCATCCTCCAGTGACCGAGGAGAAGGCTCCGCTCGGAGGGCCAGGGACTCACCAGGGTCGCTCGGCAGGACGCGGCGGGCGGGACGGCGGACCTGGCCGGAGCCCCGCGCTCAGACCCCAGCAGCCTCGCCTGCGCGCAGCTGAGAGGCGGCGGCGGGCGGGCTGGGCGAGCGCAGGCGCCCCACCCGCGGCGCTTCCCAGCAGCGCGCGCCCCCTCCGGCCTCTGTCTCCGGGCGCCGTCTGCGGACGCCCGGAGCCCCGCGCTCGAGAGCAGAGCTCGGCGGCCCGCGTCGCCGGTCCCGCCCCCGGGATACACACCGCCCACAGCCGCCCAGGCGTTCTGGTTCCGCCACCAGGTCCCTGCGCCGGAAGTTCGCGCGGGGCTCGCCGGGAAACAGCACGGCGCATGCGCCGCAGCCAGCACTCGCGCTACACGCCCCAGAAGGCCGCTGCCCACTAAGTCCGAGGAATAGCCAATGAACGAGGAGAATCCCCAGAGTTGGCCAATCAGGAGGCAGCGGCTCCCCGCGCATCCACACCTGTGACCCCGAGCTGAGTTCTGCGTCTGGACTTCGATCTTTCAGATTTCTCCGCCTTCCTGGCGGGTGACAGGCGAAAAGGCCAAGCCGAGGTTGGCCGAGTGGGTCGAGACGGTGTCTGGCCCAGCCACGAGTAGACTACCCGATCCGCCGGAAGAGATCCGCTGAAAGCGGACCCTGCCTTCTGCCACCCGCTCTTGTCTCGAATGGGTGGAGGGAGGAAGGCCAGAGGCTGGCGCGGCTCGGGCCCGGAGACTCCTTTCTAGCCTCTTAGGTCCCGCCCTCGCCGAAGTCCCTAGCGGCTCCTAGCGGGGCGCGGAGCTTCCTGGGAAATGCAGTGCAGTGAGGGTCGCGGAGCCTCCCTTCTACGCCGCCGAGCGCAGCGCTGGCCGGGGTCGTGCGGCAGGACACGGCCCGCGGATTCCCTGACCCCGGGGCGCACCCCGCTCTCCCACCGGCAGCCTCGTCTGCGGGACTGCGGGGTCCCTGCGGCTGGGCAGCTCTGAGTTCTCCTTCCCAGGCATTTTTACCTGCACCCACACTCTGCCTCTCTGCCTGCGGATCTGAGACTCCGGATCCGTTCCTGAAACCAAGAGCTCTCGTGATTTGTTGATTATGCAAGCATTGCATGCCTAGTGGAGAAAAAAAAATGAGTAAACTGTGGAAAATGATGAAGCTGTCTATACCCACAAGGCTAACACCCTCGATCTGCTCAAACGTCGCTCCCTCCAATTGGTTTTCGCTAACCCTATGTAAACAGCACCCCCGTCATGCTTGTGCCTTATTTCTCCATCATTACCTGACATCCTTGTGTAAGATTTGTCCCCTAGTACTGGACTATAAGCTCCGTGAGGTCAGTGTTTTCACTGCCCTACTCCTAGCACCTGGATTTGTGCCTGGCGCAGTATTTATGGACTGAAGGCAAAGAAAACTGGAGGTAAAAAATATTTCTAATAAGGCCATTCAGAAGTGAGCATTGGGGATCCCTGGGTGGCGCAGCGGTTTGGCGCCTGCCTTTGGCCCAGGGTGCGATCCTGGAGACCCGGGATTGAATCCCACGTTGGGCTCCCGGTGCATGGAGCCTGCTTCTCCCTCTGCCTGTGTCTCTGCCTCTCTCTCTCTCTCTCTCTGTGACTATCATAAATAAATAAATTTTTAAAAAGTAATCATTGTTGGGGATCCCTGGGTGGCTCAGCGGTTGAGCGTCTGCCTTTGGCTTGGGGCCTGATCCTGGAGTCCTGGGATCAAGTCCCACATCGGACTCCCTGCATGGAGCCTGCTTCTCCCTCTGCGTGTGTCTCTTCCCTCTCTCTCTGTGTGTCTCTCATGAATTAAAAACAAACAAAAAACCCTGCTCATTTAAAAAAAAAAAAGAAGTGAGCATTGTTTTAATCTGTTCTTACACTCCTACATCTATGGATATTTCTAATGTAAGTCTGGAATATTTCTATGTAAGTGTTTTGTTGATGATTCAAAAGTCTATCAAGGATTGCTTTCCATAGCACCGTGTATAAATAAAAGGTAGCTGTTTTGCAGACCGCATAGTTTCCATAGCATGGAAGTGCCATATTTTATTTAAAGTTCCTTACTCTTGGACATTTATATTGTTTCCTTTTTTTATGTATTTGTAGATCATTTATACAAACACCCGCCTTCCAACATTTGCTTGAACAATTTACTGGAGGGCTTGTGTCAAAACTGTTCTGTGAAGACTGCTGGAGTGAATGTTTCTGGGCTCCCTCCCCTCCCTCTACCGGCCCCGTGGAAAACTGCACAAGGGAAAAGGAACCTGAAAAAAGTCCCTTCTTCTAGGTGTAGACTTAGTGTTCTTCCATCGCCCTCTATTGGCAAAGGCTAACATCAAGTTGGCGAGCTAAGGAGGTCTACAAGCTCTAATATCACAAAACCAGACAAAAAAATATATTGGGTGCTGAGAAACAAATTAATAGCTGGTACACTTACCATATATTTTACTGGGTACTGCTGGTATAGGGCAAATTACTTGTATACAACAATTACATTGACCACCCAATAACACTTTTTTAAAAAAGATTTTTATTTATATATTTGAGAGACAGAGACAAAGAGAGCACGAGTAGGGAGGAGGGAAAAGCAGACTCCCCGCTGAGCAGGGAGCCCAACGTGGGACTCCATCCCAGGACCTTGGGATCATGACCTGAGCAGAAAGAAAGCAGATGTTCAACTGACTGAGCCACCCAGGCACCCATTTTCTTTTCTTTCTGAAAGCATTTTAGTTTATTTTTCTAACTAGGAACTATAATCTGTAAATAATGAAAAAGTCAAAATTTCCTTTCTGGGAAACTTATACTCATTTCCAGGATTTATACTCATTATTTTTCTTAGTCCAGAACTCTCTAAACAATGTTAAAAATTGAGAACAGAAGGCATCACTGTCTTGGTTAATGAAAATATTTTAATGGTCTACAGTTGCCCATTGTTTTTCTCTGATATATATCTATTGCCTGTATTAAGGAGCATCTATTCCCATTTGCAGCAAAAAGACTACCAGCTGTTCCCCCAATATCAGTTTTCTCCTTCTACAGTAAGAATTTTTCAATGGGCACATGGTGATTCAGAATAAGGAGCATATTTTCCCAGGCTTCTCTGCAGCTAAGTATGGTCATGTAATTGAATTGAAGGCAATGAGATGTGACCAGACATGATGTATATATCTTACATAGAAAAGGATGGGTCCTGCTTCCTATTCTTTTTTCCCTACCTGCTAGCAGGAATTTGGACATTGTGGCAGGGACCATGCAGATGAGTAACACCGAGGTATCAAAGCAGTAAGAGAGAAAGTACTGGATTCCTGATGATTGTGAAGCCACCAAACTAGCTCCAGGTTTATATGCAGGCAGTGATGTGAGAAATAGATACCACGTTTAAGCCACTGTTATTTCAGACTTCCATTACAACCAATGTACACACTAGCATTACTGCCTATGAGGTTTTGTCTTTTGTTTTTTCATTAAGAATAGAACATAAGGAAAAACAAAACAAAACAAAAGAATAGAACATAAGGGCAGCCTGGGTGGCTCAGTGGTTTAGCGCTGCCTTCTGCCAGGGCGTGATCCTGGAGACCAAGGGTTGAGTCCCACATCGGGCTCCCTACATGGAGCCTGCTTCTCCCTCTGCCTGTGTCACTGCCTCTCTCTCTCTTTCTCTCTCTCTGTGTGTCTCTCATGAGTAAATAAATAAAATCTTTAAAAAAAAAGAATAGGACATAAAAATATATTTTTTTATAATTTCTCCCACGGGACTTCCATGTCTTCCTGACTAAATTTTGATAGTTTTTTTGTTTTTCTAGGAAATCATCCCGTTCATCTACAACTTCAAATTTCTTTTTTAAATTTTTTTTATTTATGATAGTCACACACACACAGAGAGAGAGAGGCAGAAACATAGGCAGAGGGAGAAGCAGGCTCCATGCACCGAGAGCCCGACGTGGGATTCAATCCCGGGTCTCCAGGATCACGCCCTGGGCCAAAGGCAGGCGCTAAACCACTGCACCACCCAGGGATCCCCAAATTTCTTAATATAAAAGTGTACATAGCATTCCCATTTAACTAAAATGTTAAAAATCAGCATGTGTGGTTAAATCTTCTTTGGTTGGGATCATAGGATGGTGCTTTAATGGTGGTGGAGCAGTAGGCTAGGAAGAGCCTGGGGGTCTGTTGACTTTGTAGGATAGGCCTGCCATACCAGTCCTGACATAAAGCTGCCTACTTCCAGCCCACCTGCACATATTATCTTGAGAAATGCACTTACACCTTGGTTAAGATCCTATTTTGGATCTCTGTTATTCATAGTTGAATTGAATCCTAAGTGATCCACTGTCTCTCAGGGTTGTTATAAGGATTAAATAAATGAGGGGTGCCTGGGTGGTGGCTCAGTTGGTTAAGCATCAGCCTTCAGCTCATCATGATCTCAGAGTCCTGGGATGGAGCCACACATCAGGCTCCCTGCTCAGCGAGGTGTCTGCTTTTCCCTCACCCTGTTCTTCTCCCCCTCACTCGTGCTCTCGTACTCTCTCTCAAATAAAATCTTAAAAAAAAAAAAGGATTAAATAAATGAGGAAGACATGTAGACCACTTAGCCCAGAACTCTTAACACATAGGAAGTGCTCAATAAAGAGCAGTTCGTCCCAGGGAGTTACGCATTGCCAGGAACCTGTCACAGGGACATGCCCACAGGAGCATCCCAATGGGCATGAGAGGCTGCAGAATTTAGGCCTTCCAAGCATTTTTCCACTTTCCCGTGAAGATTTGAGCCCAAATTGTTCTGGTCAGTGGCCTATCGGGTTGTGGTATTAATCTTCACGACTAGCCTCAACCTTTGTCAGTTGAGAACAGAAAACCTGGGGTGCTCCAGGAGGTGACAGAGGTGCAGGCCACACATCACAGGCTGGCGGAGGAGCATGAGGATGAGGGAAGTTGGAGCATTCTCATAACCTCCCTTCCTCCATCCTCTGCCGTACACCAAGGAGAAACCCCAGACCATAGCCCCTGGCAAGTGGCCTAGGTCACCTCCCCCCTTCCCTCCCACCGGAGGTGTCATTTTAGCTCCTGGCACATCAGTCTCTTCCTCGTGGCAGGGTCTTTATTCATTCTGCCCCCCTTGCTTGGAAGGTTGTCCCCAAATCCTTGTAAAATGGCCTCTTGTCATTCTCCAAGTCCCGGCTTAATGCTCCCGCCTTGAGCGGGGTCCTCTGACAGTCCGCTCCTAACAGGCTCCATTGCCTCCCCGCTCCGTTCCTTCAGGTACCTGTCACTACTTGAGAGCAGTGTTTGTGCCACTCACGGGCTCGGTGGTCTCCCTCACTAGGCCGGAACCCCGTGCGGGCAGAGATCCCGTCTGGCTCTGGCATCGCATATTCCTCGACGTTTAGCAAAGAACCTGGAACGCAGGCATTCATTTTGTATTTGAAAAGCGAAGGAGGGACTCCCTGTCCCTGGGTGGCGCAGCGGTTTGGCGCCTGCCTTTGGCCCAGGGCGCGATCCTGGAGACCGGGAATCGAATCCCACGTCCGGCTCCCGGTGCATGGAGCCTGCTTCTCCCTCTGCCTGTGTCTCTGCCTCTCTCTGTGTGTGACTATCATAAATTTAAAAAATTAAAGAAAAGCGAAGGAGTGAATGCAGCGAAGTGAATGAGTGAAGAAGTGAATGCAGCGAAGCCTCCACCTAACGTTTCCCGCCCTTTATCCCCCCCCTTTTACCTCCCCCCGCTCCCTGCCCTGGCCTCGGAAGGTGCCAGGGCGCCGGCGGCAGATGTCCCCGAGCCCCCGAGCTCCAGGGCAGAGGCCGCAGCTGGTGGCCGGGCCCGGCCTCCCGCCAGCCGCGAGACACCCGAGCTGGGAGCTGGAAGCCGGAAGCGGCTCCGGCCGGGGCCTCCGCCCGCGCCCTCTCTAGGAATGCGGGAGGTTCGGCATCTCTGTGGTAGGCCCAGGGCCGGCTGTGAGGGAGTCCAGCTCCCGCTGGTGGGTCCCCCCGGCAACTGCCGCTCGGCTGAGCGCATAAAGGGGAGCGTCGAAGAGTTCGGACGTTGCCGGGCAACCGCGCTGCGTGGGAGAGGAGAGAAGGGAACGTCCGCCCCTCACCCCGCCCAGACACCCGATTGGCTAAGGGCAACGCTGGTGGGCGGGGCTTCCGGAAACCCACCCTCCGCACTGCGAGGCCACTCAGCGAGGTTGGCCCTCCAAACCAGCTCTTCCGCCCCCGTCCCGGCCGTGCTATCCGCGGAGTCGCCCCTAGCTGGGGAGACAACCCCGGCCCGGGGAGGGCAGTCCTGGGCCGTGCCTTGGGGCCGCTCCGAGAGGGTGGGCACTCCGAGGGGCTAGTCCCACCTCTGCCCTCCCGGGCAGGCGAACGGTGAGCATCCGGGTGGGGCTCCCCGAGGCCCAGAAGCCCGGAGGAAGCAGGCCAGAGACGCCGAGCCCTTCCCGGGCGTCCCCCGCCCAGCCAGGTCACGAACAGCCGTCAGCCTCGCCAGGCCTTTCCACGACACCTCCACTACCTCTGCAGTCTTGGTTTCTCTTGTTAGACATTTTCTAAACTGTCAAGTACCACTCCTAAAACGTTCTCGCCCGCTCTGTCCCAGAATGGTGACCTCTTGATGGGCCTCTAGAGACAGGTGGACTGAGACTCACGGGGCCCTCGGAATCATGTTCCTCTGGTGCCATGAGAAGGGGAAACAGTTTTTCCAGGTCTCTGAGTTTCTCAGGGGCCAGAGTGGAGTCTTTAAATGATCCCCTGGCTCACTCCACAGGTCTCTAAGTGGTTTAAGACCTGGCACAGTGGCCAGAAAGACCAAGGAAGCAAACACCCATTGTGCAAGTAAGTGCTCTGTGCTAAGCTTGCACCAAGTACCAAAGTTCCCGGTACCGTTTTAACAAGTGTCTTTCCCACCTCTTTCATCTCAAGCTCCGAAGAGCAGCAGGCTTGCTTTATGTGATCAAGTCCCCCTCAGCCCCTTACACGGAGCCAAGCAGAGAAATCCCATTTCTGAGTGATGGGAGCCATGAAGACAAGCTGAAAGGGAGGAAACAGCTTTCTTTCTCACCTCTTCAAGAAAGAGCCATCTAATTCACTCAGTCCTGCCAGCAACCCAACCCTAGATCCCAGGGAGACCTCCCAGACACAACCAAGTTCTGCCTGGGCTCCCGCTAGTCAGCAGCTTTCTGGCACCTGGCTGATGACCTGCTCCCCGACGCCATCTCCAGCGGAGTCCAGCCCCCCTGAAGGTTGAGTCTACGGCCTGTTGCGCCCTTTTTAGACAGCCCTACCTCATAATAGTTGTCTGAGTGCATGGAATCTGGGGGATTGACACCATGAAATTCCTGGACCTGCACCCACCTTCCAGCTGTCTGGTTGTTGGCTAAGTTATTGGGCCTCTCAGCTGTTTCCTCATCTATAGGACCGGGATGGAGTCCACTGCTCAGCATTGTGGAGATCAGAAGTGACATATCCACAGCAGTTGGCCACACGCCCGGCAGGGCAGCTGCTCGACTGTCAGCTATTACTATTGTCGATCCCTTCCCTTGTTTGAGCCACCCCGCGGGCCCCCTGATCCAGGGAGGCAGGTGGAGTTTCAACGGCCTCCCTCATGCAGATGTCCCCAAGGTCAGTTGGTGTCAGAACTGAAATTTGAGCTGCAAATCCTGGATAATAAGCAGGCTAATGGGATCCCTGGGTGGCGCAGCGGTTTGACGCCTGCCTTTGGCCCAGGGCGCGATCCTGGAGACCCGGGATCGAGTCCCACGTCGGGCTCCCGGTGCATGGAGCCTGCTTCTCCCTCTGCCTATGTCTCTGCCTCTCTCTCTCTCTGTATGACTATCATAAATAAATAATAATAATAAAATTAAAATAAAATAAAATAAGCAGGCTGAGCCCATTCCTCCCCAGGGGGAAAAAAAAGAGAATGGAAAATAGCTACAGGGGATCCCTGGGTGGCGCAGCGGTTTAGTGCCTGCCTTTGGCCCAGGGCGCGATCCTGGAGACCCGGGATCGAATCCCACGTCGGGCTCCGAGTGCATGGAGCCTGCTTCTCCCTCTGGCTATGTCTCTGCCTCTCTCTCTCTCTCTCCCTCTCTCTCTCTCTGTGTGTGTGTGACTATCATAAATAAATAAAAATTAAAAAAAAAAAAAGGAAAATAGCTACAGAGGTCAAAAAGCGAAAGGCTAAAAGATCCAGACAGGGACAGGTAGGGCAAATTATAAAGGACATGTACAAAGTGGTGAGAAGTAGCAGAGGGAGGTGGCAGCAGCCTCAGAAGGCACCAGAAGGGACGGCGGTCCCTGGTAAGGGAGGAATCCTCACTGGGTTACGGCCGGGCTCCATTGGAAATACATAGAAAATGTCCAGTCACAAAATAGGCTCCCAGTGCCTGTGACAGGAGACGGGGAGGGCTCAGCCCTGCTCCAGCTCCCAAACAGAAGAGCCAACAGAGGGTCCTGGGCTCAGGCAATGCCCAGGGACGGAGACTGATGGCCGCAGCACTGGACTGCCCTTCCAGGGGGATCCATGGCCTCAGAAGTGGCTGGTTGGCTTCAGGTTTGGAAACCTCTTTGCCCAGAAGCGTCTGCTTGTGATACAGATGCTCTGGAATGGCCCCAAGTCAGGTCAGGCCTGGAAAGGAGAGTATCAACCCCCAAGCGGTGACTAAGGGATGCCTCAGCCATGCTGACACGGCTGCCCCAGGAGCCCCCCAAGTTGGACTCACCACCAGGGCCCCAGGAGACAGAGCATGAACGGTGGTGGGAATTCCAAGGCCTTTAATTCGTACCTCGTGAGCCTGCGCCTCACCCTAGCTCCTGTGTTGCCATGCCCCACCCCATGCCAGCACCTCCCACTCCCTTCCCACACCCCCTCTCACACTGCCCTTGTGCCTCCCCCATGCTGGCCCCCCCTCCCGGCCTCCTAAGTGGGAGCAGGCGGGGGTGCAGCCAGAGCCCCCGCTGCCCCCAGCATCAGCATGGCCAGGGCCTTGGGCCCTGTTGTGTGGATCTTCTCGTGCCGGTGCAGGTTGGAGCGCCGACTGAAGCTCTTGCCACAGAGAGGGCAGGAGTAGGGCCGGACGCCACGATGGGTGCGCTGGTGGGCCGTGAGGTGTGAGCTGTGGCTGAAGCTCTTGCCACAGTCGAGGCAGTGGTAGGGCTTCTCGCCCGTGTGCGTGCGGTTGTGAGCAATGAGGTTGGAGCGCTGGCTGAAGCACTTGCCGCACTCAGGGCACGGGTAGGGCTTGACCCCGGTGTGGGTGCGCTGATGGGTGACCAGGGCCGAGCTCTGCGTGAAGCACTTGCTGCAGATGGGGCACTTGTGGGGCTTGGCGCCCGTGTGGGTGCCCTGGTGGGTGACCAGGTCCGAGCGGCGGGTGAAGCGCTTGGCACAGCGGTCGCACACGTAGGGCTTCTCACCCGTGTGGATGCGCTGGTGCTGGATCAGCGTCGAATGGTGACTGAAGCTCTTCCAGCAGGAGGGGCAGGTATAGGGCTTCTCACCCGTGTGGATGATCTGGTGCTGGATGAGGTGTGAGCTGCGGCCAAAGCGCTTGCCGCAGTCTGTGCAGGCATACGGCTTCTCGCCCGTGTGTGTGCGCCGGTGGGTGACCAGGTGGGAGTGCCAGCTGAAGCCCTTGCCGCACTGCTCGCACTTGTAAGTCTTCTTGTTGGCGTCACCGTCGGGGGTCAGGCCCTCCTCACTGCTCTCAGGGGTGCCCATCCGCCTCTCTCGGGGTTTCTCTGGGAGGCGGCCCTCCTGGGCTTTTGTGAGGCTGGTGTCAGGCGGGGCTGGTTTTGCCTGTCTCTCCTCTGGGGGACCTGGCTGCCCATCGTCTTTGGCTGGCCTGGAGCTCTGGCCGCTGCCTACTTGCTGCCCGCACTGCAGGACATCCCCCTGGGCTCTCCCCACCCTGCTTCTGAAAGACTTCACCTCCCCAAAGGCTGCCAGGGACAGGGCCGGCTCCTCCTTCCCCACCTCAATGGCTCCTGGAGAGAGAGGGTTTCCAGCGAGAGAGAGACTTTCGTGAGGGACCCAGGGTAATTCTGGAAATGGAGATAAGAGCGAGGATCCCAGAAGTAAAAGCCACTCCCTGCAGAGGACAGGAAGCTGGCAGCCCTGCGCCTGGCAGGACCACGTGTCTGTGCCCCAGGCGAAACAGCCATGCTGACAAGGGGCACCCCACAGCACCCCCATGCCATGGCACCCACCCACCTGCCACCTCTGCACGTACCTGTCTTCTCTTCCTCCTCATCTCCCATCCGCTGGCATGAGCTCGAGGCCTCACCCTTGCCCTGTCCTTGGGAGGTCCAGAAAGGTCTGCTGAAGGGAAATCCTGGCCAAAAAGAGACAGGAGATGCTGTACAGCAGGAAACGCCCACCACCCCCAGGAAACGCCACTTGAAGAGGGAAAAATGGGGAGACAGCTCTGCAAACATGGGGTAAAACTATATGAGCTACTTCACTTGGGGTCAGGTGTCCACCCCTCTCTAGGAAGCACACTGCAGGCTGACTGCCAGACACAGTCTCCTAAGGGGCTCCATCTTGTTTCCCTGAGCGAGCACCAGGAGTAAAGGGAGAGGGCTGGTGAGGTCAGCTGCCAACAAACCCCCTTCCGTCACACGGGCCCCTGGCAGCGGGCCCAGCAATGTCTCCCAGACCTGCATCTTCCCAGACCACGAGCAAAAAGGACTCCTGGAGGAGGGACAGTGGGTGGAGGAAGCCCAGCGAAGGGGGTTTGGGGTAAGAGGCTGGGGGTGCAGACCACCCCGAAGTCAAGGACAAATGGCCCACTGGCCAAGTCCCCTGGGGCCAGGGCTTGGGGATTCTGGTCTAGTCAGCAAGAGAGCAGCAGGGCCCAGGTTCCATGCCCTGACCCACGCCCTGTGGGAGGGAAAGAATACGCTGGACCCAGCAGTGAGTTTAGGGCATTTGTGAGGCTTGCTGTCGGGCTGCAAATGGGTGCTAAGTTCCCTCTAATTTCCCAGGACTTGCCTAGACCTGCTGGCCTGTGCCCTGGGGAATGCTAACAATGGGTGGTGAGCAAATAATTAAAGGAGTGAACTGCCCTGACTCTGAGGCCCACCCCCGAAGTCAAGGGTGGAGTGACCAGCCCCCGGCTCCCCTGGGCTAGCAAGTGTGCCCCTGGTGTGTACAGACGGACACAGACGGGACGTGTAAATGAATGGCAATGAAGGAATTAGCACCAGCAGTTGTCCATAAGACTTCCTAAATTCTGCCAACACAACCAGAGTCTGAAACTGAGGAGTCAAGGTGCTGGGACTTTACTTACCACGAGAAACAAGGCCCCTCGGGGTGGATGTGACAGCTCAGGATCCGGGGGCCTGGGGACATTAGCTGGCACCAGTACCCCCCAGCCCCGGCAGGCAGCCCCTGCTCTCTGGACAGACGCCTCTCAGGTGGGGCTCTGAGGAGCAGGACGGTGGGACCGAGGAGCAGGACCTCTAGGTCAGCACTGCCGGACGCAGCGGCCACTAGCCACATGGGGCTATTGCAATTCAAACTTGAGCCAATTAGAACAAAATAAAATATAAACTTGGTAGCTCCAGCCACATTTCTAGTGCTGAGCAGCCACCCCTGGCTGGTGGTTCCCATGTCAGCACAGAACAGAGTGGCCCAGATGAACAATGAGAAGGAGCTTAAGCCCCGGAAGGCGAGGAGGAGATGACGGAGCCACGGCCTCCCTCTGGCTTCGGGCCTCAGGAGGTGGCCACCGCCAGCACCTCTCGGGCCCTTACCCAAGGCCAGCCCATTCCTCTTCTGCAGGACGTCCCTGTAGAAGCTCTGCTGCGTGTGGTCCAGCCGCCCCCACTCCTCCCGGGAGAGGTACAGAGCCACATCCTCAAAGGTCACTGGCATCTGAAACCACACAAAATGCCCACTCTCCAGGACATGTCGGGACACCCTGATGGGGCGCGATGGCTCCAGGATGAGGGGAGCCCCCTGGCCCCCAACCCGCTGCGGACCAAGAGTGAGGCCTGTCGTCACGTCCGAGGGTGAAACAGGACAGCCGCCCAGGCAGCTGTGTACCACAGACGACCAGAGACAAAGCCAAGGGTCCTTTCTGGGCACCGCAGGCAAAGCTCAGGCTCTCTGAGCACATTCCCCTCTGGCCCCTCCCTCGGGCCCGGCGCTCAGACCCAGACAAGTATCCACAGGGTGATCCACAGCCGGAGATGCTTTTCCCCCACACCCCTCTGCTCCTGCTCCAGCCTCACACCGGAGCAGGGACACTCACCTGGGACCAGGCGCTGAGGAGTGCCGCAGCCATCTGCCGGTCCCTGGTCCTCTCCTCCCGAGAAAGCACAGGGATCTGGGGGGAGGGGAGGGCTGAGAGAGGAGAGAGGTCCTCAGGGAGGCCACCTCATCCTGCTGGGCCCCGCTGCTCCCCTGAGGGGACTCGGGCCTGGCTCACCAGGGACACCACAGCTGCTTCAAACTCCACCCCCGACCTGACCCAAGAAAAGGGTCAGCAGGCTCTGAGGCTGTCCGGGAGCGGCCTCTGAGGGGCAGGTGGGTGGACATCCAGGCATCTCCATGGCCAGAGAGCTCGTGCCCTCTCCACCTATGCTGCGAGCCTCTGCCTTTCCCCACAGCTGCCACCCGAGAAAGTGCCTCTTGAAACGTCCCTCTCCATCCCTCTCCTCACCTCCACTAGGCAGGAAAAGAGTTTTCTCCTTAGAGCCCTGGCTTAGGGACATCCAGCTTGGCACTCCTGGTACCCCGTCCCCCTGCAATGCACCCTCAGGGTGGGGCTCTTCTGGCTCCATCTTGATATGGGTTGAGTCCCAAGCAGCTCCCAAAGGCACCGTCTCCTCTGACTCAGAGAGCATTTCTTGACAAGGATGCCCATGACCTGGAACCTAGGAATGACAGCCCCCATTAGCACCTGGGCAGAGAATAGGAGACACAGCCTAGCTCCCCACCTGAGGTCCTGGGGCCAACACCCAGGGTGGCCACACACACCCAAATACAAGGCACAGCTTGAAGGAATGGCCTTGCTTCCTTCTGCTGGTCCTGGGGACCCACACATCTCTAGTTCACCTCCACAAGCTGGGGCAGCAGGGGAGGGCAAGAAGGCTCAAGGCCAGGCCAGGGGCAGGCTGGCCAGGTGCCCACAGAGCAGATGCTCCTTCTCAATTCCAGCCTCGTGCCTCCCACAGAAGTGTGGACTGTTATTCTTTTACATTGAGGAAACCGGGTGCCTGAGTGGCTCAGTTGAGTTAGGTGTCTGCCTTCGGCTCAGGTCGTGATCCCCAGGGTCCCGGGATCAAGTCCTACATGGGAGTCCCTGCTCAGCAAGGGATCTGCTTCTCCCTCTCCCTCTGCTCCCCCACCCACCTACCCTGCTCATGCTCTCCCAAATCTGTAAAAAAATATTTTTTTTAATTAAAAAAAAGAAAACATTGAGGAAAACAAGTGCCATGTATTGAATGGAGTCCCCCCAAATTTCATGTCTGCTCAAAACCTCAGAATGTTACCTTATTTGGAAAGGTCTTTGCTGATGTAATTAGTTAATGATCTAGAAATGAAATCATCCTGCATTTAGACCGGACCCTAAACCCAATGACTAGTGTCCTTATAAGAGGAAAAGACACAGAAACACAGAAAAAGCCACGTGAAGATGGCAGCAGAGCTGGGGTGAAGCCAAGGGACACCTGGAGCCACCAGATGCTGAGAGGAAGAAGGGTCCTCCCCTAGAGTCTTGGGAGGAGGCCCTGCCAACACCTTGATTTGGGGTTTCTGGCCTCCAGAACTAAGGGAATAAATTCTGGTTGTTACACAGACACAGGAAACTGACACACTCAGGCTCAGAGATGAGACAACGGCCGAAGATCACAGGGCCTGCGAGTGCTCGGCAGGGACTGGAACTCAAGGTAACTCACAAGTCAACTCCAGGGCCACCATTTCTTGAAGATGACAGGGAGGTAGCATGTGGCCTTGGGCCATTTCCAGGCTGATTCAATTTGGTCTCAGAAGTGGGAGTTTTGGGGTTTGTAGAAAAAAGAAGAAAGCCCAAGGGTACCACTAACCGTGCCCGGACCTGCGCCCACCTTGGTCTGATGGAAGGAAAACCTCCTGGCTCATGTCTGGCACCACCCACCCAGCACAAGGGCACTTCCAGGGTCCTCCCCCCTGGTCCTTGCATCCTCACAGCAGCCTCAGCTCCAGGTCCCCGGGACAGACTCAGGCAACCAGGACTCAAATCCAGGCCAGCCCCTCACTCGCTGCTGAACCTGGAGTGGGCACTGCCTTCCCACAAACCTCTTCAGTTTGGGGAAAGTCACTTCCTTTGCACGGGGAGGCCCCTGGGGACGCCTCACTGCCATCCACAGCACAGGGACTGGCCAGGCATCTCTGTCCAGCCCCCTGAGCTCCGTCTACAGCAGGGTCTCCAAGGGAAGGACCCTAGACCAGGAGCTGGAGTGCCTGGGAGCCCCTTGGGCCAGACAGCCTCCGAAACCCAGCTGCTCTGCCTCGCGCACAGATAAGCTGTGACAAAGAGCTGCGCACTGGAACATTCTGGATAAACAAAGTGGTGCCAGTAATCATTACCATGCTACCGTGTAAGCTGACAGAACCAAACAGCAGCAAAGAATGTCAGGGACTCTGAAGCCGTCAGTCTACAAAGGCATCACGGAAGGGAAAGGAAACAGTGTGGACACCCCTTTGTGCCTCTATGGTATGGATACAGGACAACTAAGACACACGGTCCCTGACTTACAACGGCCCAACATAACCGGCTTTCAACTTCACGATGGCATGGAAGTGACACACACTCATTAGAAACCGTACTTCAAACTTTGCAACAGTCTCCTCTGCCGGGCTGGCGGTGTGTGGCTCGGTTGTCCCTGGGGCTGCCAGGCGGCAGGTGCCACAGCTCTGTCAGCCCCGCGGTCATGAGCGTCAGCGACCAGCAGACTGACCAGGGCTGTCTCTCCTGCCATTCTGTTTTTCTCTCTCAGTATGGCGTCCAGTATATTCCATGAGATGCTCAGCGCTCTTTTATAGAATAGATTTTGTGTGAGGTGATTTTGCCCAGCCGCAGGCTGCTGTAAGTGTCCTGAGCACGTCTGAGTAGGCGAGATGAAGCTGTGATGCTCAGTAGGTTAGCGTGTTAGATGCATTCTTGACTTCTGGTTGTAACCCCATTGTAAGTCGGGGAAGACCTGCACTTGATGTGTGTTTGAACTTACAGCCCCTGGAAATACTAGTTGAGGTGCCATAGGTTTCTCTAACCTAGGTTCTAGGGGCTGTGCATGTTATTTTATGTGTTACAATAATTAACTTCTCGGAGCCTCCCAACCTCCTGGATGAGACAGGTGAGAACAGCAGATGTATGATAGACATTTTATACATGACACACCTGGTTCCCAGAGGCCAGGGGACTTGCCCAAGGTCACACACCTGGCTGCAGCTGATTCATATTCCTTTGATTCCAAGGCCAGTGGCCCTGGTCCCCACGCAGTTTGTAATCACACCCGTGGGCAACAGGTATGGGAAGGCCTAGGTGCTGAGACCCAGAGAGAGGGGAGGGGGTGGTCCTAGGCAGAAGGGAGGGTAGACGGGGGCTTCCCCGTGTGCTCTGGGCACTGTTCAGAGAGCACCCTCACCAGGAGGACCCCCACGTACCTCCTTGCTATTTCTGGTAGCCTTTGGCTCACCAGGCAAAGCAAAGCAGTTTGATAGCTGTCAATTCCCAGGTGGAAGGCATTTCCTGTCATACCACCAGCTCTTCAACACCTCCCACAAGCCCATCCACCAGCCCTGCACCCAGGTGAGCCTAACTCTCCCACTGGCCTAGAAACCTTGTCTTGAAAATCTGTTCCTGCTCCAATTCCTTCCGGGGCATGCATCCCTCACCCAGCGCCCCGTCCATACCTCTCGGGCTCTCTCCTTGTCCTGGGTGGCCCGGGTGCCTCTGCCGTCTGCAGACATTTCTATCAGAGGTAGAAAGCACGGCTGGGTCGTTTCTCCCTCTTGTTGGCCAAGCCGTCTCCAGCTTCTGGCCAGAAGCCTGGAAGAAGAGGAAGAAATCAGCCAGCCTCTCTTGGGCACCTCGAAAAGCACCGTGAAGATGCCCACGCAGGACCAGACCCATCCTTGGTCCCGATTAGAAATAAAGCCTCCCTGATGCCTTCCAGTGACCTCGCTCACTCTCTCTGAGGTTTTTTGGTTCCTCACTGGACAGAATGCTATCTTGCTTTGTCCCCTTTATCACTTAAGTCAGAACTCTGCTTCTCAGAGCAGCCCCGTTAGGGAGAGCCAGGGCTGGACCCGAAAGGTCTGCAGAGATCCCACAAAACGGGTGCTGCGCGTGTCCGCAGCCGTCACAGGCGGCTCAGCTGGAGAATCGAGGCCCCACTGTCTCCCAGGCCCAGGACACACGCACCCTGCGCTCCGCCTGGCCCAGCCCCACCTGGGCTCCAGAAACAGAGCAGCCCGCGGCGGCAACCTCCCGCCAGGTCCGCCGCTCACGTCCGCTCACGGGCCTGGCCGTGCCCTCCCCTTCCTGAACCTGGGTCCAGCCCCCCTCCCTCCCCACCAGCCTGAAGCCTTCCACCTCTGACCCCGGCCCCTCCTGCCAGCCGGCCACGCGCGTGGATCTCGGGATCCACACGCCCCCCGCCCGGTGGCCCTCTCACCGAGGTGGAGGCGGAGGGGGCAGCTTGGTCGGCGGGGCCCCCGCCCCCAGGAAGGGAGACTCCTCAGCCTGCACCGGGCCGGGGAGCCAGGTGGAGACTGGGATTAGGGACAACAGGAAGTCCCTCCCAGATCCCGTTCCCCACGCAGCTGCAGCCTACAGGGTCCCGGCTTCAAGGGTTCCGGGGTCTGGAGGCCCCGGCCCGGCTGCACCTGCCTCGGCCAAGGGGCGAGCCCGAGGTCCGCACCGCCAGCTCACGGTCGCTCTACCTGGCGTTCACTTGTGGCACCAGCAAAGCAGGGACAACAAAACGGGAAAATAAATTCTGTGGAAGGATTCTGACATTTGACTTCCAAAGAGGGCCTCGAAGCCGTCCTCACAGGAGGAAGGGCACCGCCCGGGAAGGGGGCACGATGCTCCTGGACACACAGGGCTTCTGGTGTCTCCGTGGAGACGTTCCTGGATTTCACTTAAGGCCCCCAGGCCGATGAGCCGGTCCTCTGGGCTCTCCCCAATACTGGCATGGAGTTCTCCTACCCCCAGCCCCAGGCCCCACACCTTGAAAAGACACAGCACCACGCGGATTGTTCTAGACCTCCTCTCCCCAGTTGGTTAAGCATTTGCCTTTGGCTCAGATCATGATCTCAGCGTCCTGGTATTGAGCTCCCTGTCGAGAGGGGAGCCTGCTTCTCCCTCTCCCTCTGCCATCCTCCACCCGCACTTGTGCTCTCTGGCTCTTTCTGTCAAACAAATAAGTAAAATATTTAAGATTTTATTTATTTATTCATGAGAGACACAGAGAGGCAGAGACACAGGCAGAGGGAGAAGCAGGCTCCATGCAGGGAGCCCCTTACATGGGACTTGATCCCAGGATTCCATGATGACGCCCTGGGCCAAAGGCAGGCTCTAAACCACTGAGCCACTTGGAGATCCCTAAATAAAATATTTTTAAAAATTAGTAAAGTTCTCATAAAATTGATTTTCTTGAAAAATCAGAACACCGGGCAACCCTGGACTCATATTCCCCACGTGCAGGATCTGCTCTCACGTTGCTGCATTTGGTCCCCACTTTACCCCTGAAGCATTTTGAATTTGTGACTCTGCTTTTGGAGTTAAACATCTTTTAGGATTCTGATCTATGCTACTGTCAGTTTGAGGAATAAAACATATGAGCCTGGGGGAAGACCTGGGTGGCTCAGTGGTTGAGCTCAGGTCATGAGCCCGGGGTCCTGGGATCAAGTGCCATATCGGGCTCCCCACAGAGAGCCTGCTTCTCCCTCTGCCTGTGTCTCTGCCTCTCTATATATGTCTCTCCTGACTAAATAAATACTTTTAAAAAATGAGAGCCTTGGAGTTTGTCTCTGGTCAGTATTTCCAGGCGTTTTAATCCTCAAGGTAAAGAGGTATGTCCAAAGTTGTAGCAAAAGTCAATACAGTCAATACTATCGTCAAGCCAGGGATCCCTGGGTGGTGCAGCGGTTTGGCACCTGCCTTTGGCCCGGGGCCCGATCCTGGGGACCCGGAATCGAATCCCACATCGGGCTCCTGGTGCATGGAGCCTGCTTCTCCCTCTGCCTGTGTCTCTGTCTCTCTCTCTCTCTGTGTGTGTGTGTGTGTGTGACTATCATAAATAAATAAAAATTAAAAAAAATTAAAAAATACTATTGTCAAGCCAGAGAGCTACAAACTGAGAAGTCCCAGGGGGCTGTGGAAAAAGATCAACTACTCAGCCTGCGAATGGTTCTCCATCAACGAGGAGCATGACCAACGTCCAGAGTAAGGGAATTCATTCCTGACATAGGCCATTTCAGCCACAGCAGTTCCAGGAGGATCTGAGTCTCAAAAAAGTGTGTGTGTCCTGATTCTTGGGCAAATGTTTCTCTACCACACAAAAGGGGCTACTTTCAGGGACAGTGGGGGAAGCCCAGCAGTTTAGATCCCACCACGGGGTCACCTAAACTAGACCAAATGGCTTTCTGCCCCTGGACGCCACCGAGTAAGCATCGTTAAAGTCTCCCCTCCCACTGCCATCATGTCTAAGTCAGAGTCTCCCAAAGAGCCCGAGCAGCTGCGGAAGCTCTTCATCGGAGGTTTGAGCTTCAAAACAACCGATGAGAGTCTGAGGAGCCATTTTGAGCAATGGGGGACGCTTACGGACTGTGTGGTAATGATAGACCCCAACACCAAGCGCTCCAGAGGCTTTGGGTTCGTCACGTACGCCACCGTGGAGGAGGTGGCCGTGGCCATGAACGCGCAGCCGCACAAGGTGGACGGAAGAGTCGTGGAACCAAAGAGGGCTGTCTCCCGAGAAGATTCTCAAAGACCAGGTGCCCACTTAACTGTGAAAAAGATTTTTGTCGGTGGCATTAAAGAAGACACTGAAGAACATCATCTAAGAGATTATTTTGAACAGTATGGGAAAATTGAAGTGATTGAGATCATGACTGACCGAGGCAGTGGCAAAAAGACAGGTTTTGCTTTTGTGACCTTTGACGACCACGACTCTGTAGACAAGATTGTCATTCAAAAATACCATACTGTGAATGGCCACAACTGTGAAGTAAGGAAAGCCCTATTGAAGCAAGAGATGGCTAGTGCTTTGTCCAGCCAAAGAGGCCGAAGTGGTTCTGGAAACTTTGGTGGTGGTCATGGAGGTGGTTTTGGTGGGAATGACAACTTTGGTCGTGGAGGGAACTTCAGTGGTCGAGGTGGCTTCGGTGGCAGTCGAGGTGGTGGTGGATACGGTGACAGTGGGGATAGCTATAACAGATTTGGTAATGACGGAAGCAACTTTGGAGGTGGCAGAAGCTATAACGATTTTGGCAATTACAACAATCAATCCTCAAATTTTGGACCCATGAAAGGAGGAAATTTTGGAGGCAGAAGCTCTGGCCCCTATGGTGGTGGAGGCCAATACTTTGCCAAACCAAAAACCAAGGTGGCTATGGCGGTTCCAGCAGCAGCAGCAGCTATGGCAGTGGCAGAAGGTTTTAATTACTGCCAGGAAACAAAGCTTAGCAGGAGAGGAGAGCCAGAGAAGTGACAGGGAAGCTACAGGTTACAACAGCTTTGTGAACTCAGCCAAGCACAGTGGTGGCAGGGCCTAGCTGCTACAAAGAAGACATGTTTTAGACAATACTCATGTGTATGGGCAAAAAACTCGAGGACTGTATTTGTGACTAATTGTATAACAGGTTATTTTAGTTTCTGTTCTATGGAAAGTGTAAAGCATTCCAACAAAGGGTTTTAATGTAGATTTTTTTTTTGCACCCATGCTAAATGGTGCTAAATTGACTGCTAAATATAACAGTCTGATCATGACGCTGAATAAATGTGTCTTTTTTTAAATGTGCTGTGTAAAGTTAGTCTACTCTGAAGCCATCTTGGTAAACTACCCCAACAGTGTGAAGTTAGAATTCCATCAGGGTGATGCCAGGTTCCACTCAAAATTTATTTGCAACCTGCTTGGGCACAGAAGCCATTGTCTCCACAAACCTTGGTGTGGTTGAATTGACAGTTAATGTGTTGTGACCTGGAGTTCATCGTTAAAAGGGTCACCCAAGGGGATCCCTGGGTGGCGCAGCGGTTTGGCGCCTGCTTTTGGCCCAGGGCCCGATCCTGGAGACCCGGGATCGAATCCCACATCAGGCTCCTGGTGCATGGAGCCTGCTTCTCCCTCTGCCTATGTCTCTGCCTCTCTCTCTCTCTGTGTGTGACTATCATAAATAAATAAAAATTAAAAAAAAATTTAAAAAATAAAAAAAAAGGGTCACCCAAGCAAAGTCCTGGAGTTTATTTGGTTATTATGATTCTTGACACATCCTATGCAATATATCTAAATCGAATTATGGTATCAGATAAAATTATAGATGGGATTAAAGCTTGTGTATCGTCCATTATCATGTGTAATCAATAAACGATTTAATATTCTCTTGAAAAAAAAAACTAGACCAATGGAGTCTCAACATTGATTTAACTACTCAGAAAATATTTATTGAGCACTTACTATGTGACAGACTTTAGCCTCTTCTTGGAGATGAGCGGAAATACTTCCAGGGCTGGCTCTAGGACCAAGCAGGTCTAGGAGGAAGAGTCTTCACATTTACTGTGCGGGAAATGCAGTCCCTAAAAGATTTCAGAAAGGTCCCTGGGAAAGCATAGATCAAAAACGCCTCCAGCAAGCAGGTAGCACCATAGATGACCAGTGGCTTGGGTGCCAGATGGTATTCATGGAGGAGCTTCAGGGGCTTCAAGAAATCATCTTTTGTTCAAAGGGGGCAGTTGGGGGTTCAGTATTGTCAATTCTTGAAGATTTTTCAAAAGAAACCAGAAGAAAAAGAAGTAGAAGGAAGAGAAGAATTAGGTTTATATGTGAAGTATCCTGACTTTTAAATGTTGATGATTCAAATATAAAATTTAAGAACCCCATAGAACTGCAGCAGAAAACACCTGCTGTTTAGCTCACAGGGCACCAGTTTAGGGATGTACTCACCTCAGGAGACTGTCACAAGGAAAACTACCATGGATGGTAGTGCCTGTCTGAGCTTTATTTTTTTTTTAAGATTTTATTTATTTATTCATGAGAGACACAGACGGAGAGAGAAGCAGAGACACAGCCAGAGGGAGCCTGATGCAGGACTCCATCCAGAGACTCCAGGATCGCTCCGTGGGTGCAAGGCAGGCACTAAACCACTAAACCCAGGGATCCCCCTGAGCTTTAGACAGAGCAAACACTCAACGTATGCCAACTCCCAAATCTGGTGGCTTCGCTGAGTTTAAGAAGAGATTATTACCTTTGGGCAGCCCGGTGGCGCAGCGGTTTAGTGCTGCCTGCAGCCCGAGGTGTGATCCTGGAGACCCGGGATCCAGTCCCATGTCGGGCTCCTTTCGTGGAGCCTGCTTCTCCCTCCGCCTGTGTCTCTGCCTCTCTCTCTCTCTCTCTGTCTCTCATGAATAAATAAATAATCTTAAAAAAGAAGAATAAATAATCTTAAAAAAGAAGAATAAATAATCTTAAAAAAAGAAGGATAAGTAAATAATCTTAAAAAAAAAGAAGGATAAGTAAATAATCTTAAAAAAAAGAAGAAGAAGAAGAGGTTACA